ACGTTACTGTTATAGCACTAAGATTTTCTAAAAATACATAAAATCTGGCTACTTGCAAAAAACTTTTACACCCGAAGACCAACTTCTTGAAGGTTCATCATGCCTGAAACTCGTTGGTGTAAAGATTCATTTGAATTGCCCTGTGGAAATATGTAGATGAGAAATGTTCAAATTAGAAAACTAATACAACTGGGAGAAGCTCCCAGTTTATCAGTGGTGAAAAGAAACGCAACGATGAAGCAACAGCTGATTAAATTGCCAAAGTATGCATGCTACTACTGACTGCTTGATCTACAACTAAGAAATTTTCGAGTGAGTGCCGCTGTGTACCGTAGGTGGCAATAGAAAGCGCACACCTTGAGATGAGTGACGGGATTTCTTTTGAGAACTCGCATTGCAGACGGGAATAGCACTGGGTCGTCGATAAAAAACACCGGCAAGCTCAAGCAGAGCAAGTCCCAGTTCCCATCTTCGGTGTAAAATTTGATAGCAAACCCGCGAAGATCTCGCACCGTATCAGCAGTACCGCGCTCCCCAGCTGCAAAATTTACCCTAAAAGGTATCAGCTACAAAAATAAACTTAAAAAGCCTTTCATTTATGATTAGACATACCAACAGTTGAAAAACGAACAAAAACTGGCGTCTGCTTGCCAACTGCACTAAATAAGTCCGCCTTGCAATATTTGCTTATATCGTCCGTTACTGCGAAATACCCATGAACACCTGCAGTAGTAAAGTAGGAGATAAGAAATCAGTCTAAGTATCATGTGCAAGAAGGAATGTTAAATGCAGTCTATGTTTCATCCCTTAGTTACAACTCTTCTGCTTTTCATTTTCAGAAGTATGGCGTGATAACGATACGAAATCGCAATTATTAAGAAAGATTTTCTTAAGTTAAAATACTGAAAAGTTTAGGGCTAAACGACGAAATGCGTCAATTTTGTTCACTCCTTATACAGAAAAGCTCAGCGCTTAGTGACCAAATCCATTTGCGTGAACAACTCGTTCTGGAACCCGTTCACGGTCAAAATGAGACATTTCGTCCAGATAAACGGTATCCTGAAGAAGAGCCGGCCCACGTGGCCCAACTGTTAGCATTGCTTTGCGATTATGTATTGGCATGCCATTCGACATTGTCAGCAAATCCGGCTTCTGAAAACGCGGAACTTTAAGTAAACACATCCTTCCTGATATCTTCATCATCTCCAATGTGACTCATCTCACCTTCGCCAACATGTAATTTATTCTATGTGTAATGTAGCCGAAGCCTGAGCAACATCACCGAGTGGCCAGCGATTCCGAGATTCCGACACTTTCATTTTCCTGCTTGTTTTCGCGAGATTTTCACTTATAACTGTTTCTGATTTTATGGATGTTTGACACTTCTTTGGAATTTACTGCATTCCGTCAGCTTATCTTCAGCACCTCGTAACCATTATTCGTCCGAGGAGATATATTAGGAGCCAATCATTCGTCCGAGGAGATATAGTAGGAGCTAATTATAACAGACTTTGATATAGGGTTGCTACATCAAAATTACTAACCCAAAAACCAACAGTTGTGGTCTTCGATAATAAAAAGAGAACTAAGGATGAAATAATAGTAA